CTGTGATACAAATTTCCCGTTTTCTATGATAATCTACTTCTGAAAATTAGGTAATATTTCCCAAAAAGTCGATAATCTACTTCCCCAAAAAATCGATAATCTACTTTCCCGAAAAGTAGATACGATCTCTTGAGAATCCGAATTTACATCTTTTTAATTGTCGTAAGTTCGAACTTAAGAGAACGAAATAACTTACGATTTTTCTAATTCTCAAAAGATCGTAAGTATCTACTTTTCGGGAAGTATAAAAATTGGCTCTTATCATTTTTGCTTTTGGAACCCTTTTGTTTTCAACTTTTTTATTAGGATTATTATAAAGAAAGAAAAAAGTATTTTTTTTCATTTATACGACACATTAAGTTACTATACAAATATTTATTGTGATGATTGACACCAGGTTACTGCTAGGTTAGGTTGCCCTTATGGTACTACAACCTGTGTACACAGGGTCCAATAAAGGCTACCAGTGTACCTTGGTCGACGTGTCTCGCCTATCTCTAGAGTATGGGGCTCAGACAAGCCTCGGCACCCAGCCCTTGGCAGCATCACTGTCCCTAGCAGTGACAGACAGCCTTTAGTGTCATCACATAGCCCTTACTAGCTGTACACAACTACCTACTTATAAGCCCCCTAGAAGCATCATGTAGATCTTAGGGGAGAATCATTCAGCCTCCCCAGAGACACAGACAGCTCTTAAGAGCCTCACACATCCCCAAGTTGCCACAAACATCACTTATCCCCTTGAAGACACACTGCCTTGTGATTAATTTTTAATGTGCAAGACATTTGAAAAACAAAAACAAAATACAATTACAAAAGTTTGTTCAGAGGAAAAATTCATTGGTTACAAAGTAAGTTGTGAACACGTAATAAATAACTAACTTATAATGAAAGTAAATTCTTAAACTGGCATCTTTTATTTCAGTGCTGTGCCAGCTAGAGTAAAACATTGTGTTATACAAATGAAGATGAAGCTACTGTACAAAATATCGTAACTTCAACAATGTTATGACATTGTTGACTTATTTTGTACTTCACTTTTATTTCCACTTGTATAACGAATTATTTCACTCTTGCTGGCACTGAATTAAAAGATGCTAGTTTAAGAATTTACTGTAATTTTCAGTTCTTATTAAATCATTACAACTTGCTTGTAACAATATATCACAAGTTATCTGCATTTTAAGGTTTTAAGTGAGATGAAGTCACCTTAGGCATTCCATTGGTGGGCCACAGCAGTGACGTCACCACTAGTCGTCTACGTCAATGGTGGAACAGACCAAACGAGCAATGACGTCATCACCAGTAGTCTGCCTCATTGGTGAGACAGAAGCCCTTCACTTTACACCTCAGAGTCAGTCCTTCCCTCACTCCAACAAGACAATGAGTCCTTCCCTCACTCCTAAGCATCTACACGAGTCCTTCCCTCACTCCTACACATCACAGTGAGTCCTTCCCACACTCCTACATATCACAGCGAATCCTTCCCTCACTCCTACACATCACAGTGAGTCCTTTCCACACTCCTACACATCACAGTGAGTCGTTCCCTCACTCCTACACATCACAGTGAGTCCTTTCCACACTCCTACACATCACAGCGAGTCCTTCCCACACA